ATTATCCTATATGATTATATTCAGGTTAAAATCTTTTATAAAAGATTTAAAGAATATTTCTTTTTTGTAACTTTAGGATAAGGAAGTAAGTAATTTAATGAAATTGAAATCATTACGTGTTCTTCATTATTTAACACATACGTTTAATGAATCTCTTCAATGGCTTGATCAAAAACAAATTTCTTATGGATTAATAAAGGATCATCATCATCATCAGTCGACTACAAACAGGCGTGGTTTACAGGCGATAACAACATCGTGCCAAGGCGTCGAGTTAGTAAAGGATAATACTATTAAAAATATTGATCCACTTGATAATATTATTATATGTGTACCAGTTACTTTTGATTTAAATTCTCAAGATTTACTCAAACAATTTCATATCTTAAGAATAAAATTAAATGCATCAAATGCAAAATATATTAGTGATGCTATGTTAACTATTTCACGTAGAATACCTGCAGATATATTTCTACAATATTATATAGAATTAGTTCGTAGTGAACAATTAACAAAACTTGGTAAATACGATATTTTTATTTTCTCATATGATCCGTTTTAAAAGGATATTTTAAGTATAATTTCACATGAAAAATCGTAATAGACGTAATTAGAAACTTGAAAAATGCTAAAATATTATTTTCTCTTTCGTAGAGAGGAATCTTGCAAACATAAGCTGTCTACTTGCTTGCTTGTGTCCGCATTTCACAGATTGGTCGAAGACTAATATGGAAATAAACAAGATTGGTTTCCACAAACTTTGACCGTAGATTAATCGGGATAGAGGAACACGAATCTGCAGTCGGTTTTTAAAATTGGTTGAATAAATAGTTTACTGATAGTTAAGACACATCTTTTCTACGATAGAGAACTGAACGAATCTCGAGACGAGCGTTACTTGTCCGAATAATATTTTGTTTCACCGCAGATATACTAGGCAGGAACAGCATGACAAATGATCTGTTTTAAAAACTTGTTCACGGTTATGTTTAATTACACATCGATGAAGAAATAATGATAACTTTCGTCATAAGATCCTTGAATTCATTGCTACCCTGAAGGATAAAATAAGACAGCATCCATGAAAGAGACTCATTCCGTCCACATCAGCAGCATATTGACTGAAAGATGTATTACTATGTTCTTGTTCAATGTATAAACGTTTCTATAGTATCCGACCTTTTTACTCAAGGATATTTGTACGAATTGTTTCCTTATGTTTAATAGGTATAACATCAAACAAAGAAATTATTCGTTTATTAAATGAATATGCATCTGATTCTAATTTGATAACATCCGTTATAAGACCTTTATGGGATAGTCGACCTCATCCAGATATTCGTGCTTGTCTTATTTTAACATTACTTCAATTTATTGATAAAGTACATTCGAATGATGAAAAAATAATCATTTGGAAAATTTTGGAAGAAGCTGCTGATGATAATTATCTTCCAGTTGTTCAAACTCTATTTCCTGAATATCGAGGAAGTTCTCGTTGGCCATTATCTCGTTCAATATATTCGTCAGATGATACTTTTGAACTATTTATTAATCGAATTCAATTTAAAGTATTAGATCATCCAACATCATTAGAAGCACGTTTATGGGCTTGGACAAATATTAATTATAAAAAGTATAATTCAGAAAGATTAATTGAAAAAAGTAAACAATTATGTGTTCAATTCGATAAAAATGCAAATATTCTATGGGAAACTGCTTTTAATCAATTAATATTATGTTATAAACATCATCAGATGTAAGCTATGAAGAAAAATAGGATTGATATAAAACAATAAAAATCGTTTTATTTTTTTTTATAGATCACTAATAGATCCAATTATTGATATTATTAAAAATCTTATGTTACATAGAGATGAAATTGATTCGAAAGAAAATGCTATTAATAACCAACAAGATTTACCAATTTATCATCGTATCCAATGTATTTTAATAAAATTAATTTCTTATATGAAACAATTATCTACTGTTGAAAAACTTCCTCTTCGTTCTTTTGCAATAATGATATTTCAATTTGATAAAACATTTGCTCTTCTTACTGGTACATTATTAATAAATACTGCTCAAAATAAAGATGATCTTGAATCAATGTTAATTTTATTTCAAGAAAATTTATCGGAATATTATTATGAAAGAATAATTGAGCAATTAGGAAATATTCTTTATAAATCGTGTCATTTCATACAACAATTAACTGCTATTGAAAGATTTGATTTAGCACAATGGTTTATTAATGAAAAAGATCAAGGATTATTTGTTTTTGCTCTACTTAAAAAGAATATATTTTCACAATCTGGCGTTGACAGAGAACAATGTCAAAATCTTCTTCGACAATTAAGAAAAAGTGAAAATTTATTATTAAGACAACAAGCTTTGGGATATACTGTAAATTGGGCAAAGAAGAAATGGAAACTTATTAAAAAACAGCGAGATCGAATAGCTGTTTCGAATCATCCTTCAGAGTTAAATACAGACGATGTTAACTTTTTCGATATATTTGATAATATTTAAAGTTAATAAGCATTATATTCTAGTTTTCTCGATTTATTTCAAAAGTGTTTATTGAAGGCTTGAATATATACATCTGAAAAAATAGACTGGCTTTTATACTTAGTTATCTATGCTTATCAACAGTAACAGAAGATCAAAATTTTGAATTATTTAATATAAAGTGTGTGTTTTATTTTCATTAAAATAAAATCTTTAAAAAGGAAACATATCAGTAAACAACTTTTTCTTATTATTAGAAAACCATTGTACGATGATTACAAATAATCAAATACAACCTACTTCTGTAGCGTGAGGGTGGGTGTGGGTGAGAGTTTATCTTATTTATTCTAGCTATCCCAAACTCACATTTATTAATAATTTATAATTATATATTTTAATTATCTCATATACAATGTAAACAACTTTTCAATGATACAATATTTATTAGAATGAAGTTTTTTTTTGTCTGTCATATATATTTTATTTAAAATCCTACATGACTCCATTCACTAAATCCATATCCAGTTAAATTTTGTTCTAAAACTTTCCAATTGCCTCCTTGATTTTCATAAAAAGAAACTTGATATTGAGAAATTTGTTCGAAAACATCTAATCCTAAACCACGTCCACCAGGATTATTGTTGCTTACTCTAGCTTTATATTCAATATCAATTTTATAATTTTTATTTTCTGTTTGAACTCTTGTATGAATAGCATATTTTTTATTATCAACAATTTGCCATTCTAATGGTGTTAAATGAAATGCATTACCACATAATGTTCCGATTTTAATTCGTAAATTTCTCCATCGAATAAATACATATCCAATATATTCATTAGTTAATGGAATATGATAACTACCTAAAACAAATGAAAATTCTTTATCAATACGATGAAATTGTGACCAAATCCAATTGAAAAGATTTGTTGGCCAAGCACCATAATTATGATCATGATAAGCAGTCGTGTTAATCATAACTCGAGTATTATTATATTGTATAACTCCATATACATTAGCACTAGGCATATATGATATCCAATCTAATTCTAACAATTGAGGTACATCTTCTCTTTGTCTACAAGCATATGACATTTGTTTAAATGTTAATGACCAATTTATTTGACCATTTCTGCTACTGCCTACAACTTCATAGGTTCTATCATCTAAAACTTTGATGGAATTTTGTTTTCCAACGGTAACATTTGCATTTTGTTTATAAGCAGAAAAATCTTCGTAATTGTATGTATCTAAAATATTTATTGGATCTTGCCCAGTATTATTTGATACAGAAGTCCATAACATTCCAGCAATATCTGATAATTCCAAGCTAAATGTTTTGGCTGGATCTGAAACACCATATCCCATACAAAATCCAATGTCAACTATTGGATCATACAAAGCAAAGAACCACCATTCTCTATATAAGGCCGATATTAATGGATCTTTACCACGTATATATTGATATCCATCACTTTCTAAACTAAGTGTTTCATTATCAGGACAAATCTCTGCTTTACATTCAATTAATATGATCAAAAATGTGAAAATAAATAAGATTTCTTTTTTGAAAAGCATCGTTTATCAAACTTCCTAACACGTGTTGTAAAATGACAAAACAAAGTCTTATATTTATGAATAAGAAAAGATAAGACATGCTCTTTTTATATTATTATCAGCACAGGATACCTTTTGTAAAGTATCTCTAACTGACGTCATCATTTTTTAAAAATAAGGCCAAATTCGTAAACATATTCTATATACTGACACGTTTTAAAAATCGACGTAATATGTTAGTCAACAGAACAAACTTTGCAGTATTTTTTAGTGTATTTAACAGTTCAAATGGTAGAATTACGGAAAAGATAATAAACAAAAATACGATAGTATGATTTGCTTTGGTAGATAACCATGAAAATAGTTACAATTTGAGTCGTTCGAATGTTTTCAAAGAAAAGTTAAATTAAATTTTTAGTTTAAGATATTCAAATTGAAAAATATTTAATATATTACATGGATCATGCCGATGACCACCTTTAGAAAATATGATGAGATATAAATTTATTGTATCGCTGATATTCAGTTTATAACATGTGTTTGATATAAATCTGCACATTATTTGAGTTAATCACAAAAATGGTTTGTATTATAAAAATTCTTTGACCTTATGCCGTTTAAAGTCATCCAAGTAAAGATTTCAAGTATAATAATGAAATTATTACGATGATTTTTATTAGAATATTAGATGAAAAGGTTCTATCACATATTAGCAATATGATACTGTTTTTGTATAATATATCTTTGTATTATTTAAGAAAGATAAATAGTTTATTTTTCCATTGTATTAAATTCTAATTCTCTTGACTGTAGTGAGGATCGTACGAAATATATTGAATTTGTGTGTGCGTTTGCACTCGTATTAGTATCATTTGAAGAATCTGAGTGTGTGATTATTTTCTCAAAGCTTTTGATCTAAAAACGTTTTCATTAAAAAAAAGGGTATTTGAGAGAAAACACAATATTTTTACTTTTGTAAAATTTATTAAATATTATTCTTTTTCTATCATAAATGGTTTCGTAAAATCAAACTTTATTAAATCTAGTAATGGTTCGATCATATCCAGACGAGGATTACTTGTTTTAATTCGAAAGAATAAAAAAAACAGTAGTTGATTTATTTCTACCTATAAAATATGTAAACAAAATTTTTTTATTAGACAAAGAAAATATTGTACAGTATAATACAAACTTAACATTGATGAAAGTGCAACTGAATTTTAATTCTTCAGTATTGTTTTCTTATATATTTTGAAAAAATTATTTTTCGATAAAATAATAGAAGTGAATAACTTCTAGAAAAACCATCAGTATATAAGATTCTAATAAAACATCGAATTTTTAAGTTAATATGAATAGTACCTGTTTCTTTTAATGTAATAAAGACATTTTATTTTCGTATTATAGATAAATTATTTGAATTCTTATCATTTGAAAGTTACACTAATTTTGAAATAAATAAATTAAATAATAACCTCAGGTAATCCACAAAATAGATTTATCCAAATCCTTTGTAAATTAAACAGTCTATTAAAATTTTAAACATTCAATATCTTTAACGAGTTCCTAAATTATATATCTTTATATTGATAAAATATGATAATCATGATTGAGTATAAGTTGGAGCGTGACTTGTGTGAATCGAATTATACACAATGAAACGTTTTTTCTCTTTTCCTTTGATATTATTCAGTTGTATATTTATTTATTTGTTGATAATCAAAAAACTATTTTTCACGTGCTGGATTTCCACTTAAAATAATTATTTATTTTACCAGTTCCATTGTTGTTCACTAATGAATACAAAACTTCCTAAGTCTTCCAATGTATGAAAGACTCTATTAAAAAATATTTTTCGATAAACGTTTTTTACGATAAATTATAGAGAATACGCCTTACTTGCCGACGTGTTTTTTCGATCATGTACTTTTTTTCGTATTGATATCGTTTGCTCACTCAACCAGAATAAAATAAAAGTGCATTGATGATAATATTAGACCATATGCTTTTCATTATTACGAATAATTATACATACCTATTACGTGCGGAGTGTAAAATACAGCTGCTTTGCATTGATATATGTATAATTCCTGCTTTTGTGGTAGTATCAATTATATCTTGAAAATATCGATAGTATTTCATCATGGTCAACTGGTCATCAGTAAGAAGATAACAACCAATATTTATTTTCGATTACTATTGTTCGTGAGTGTGCTGTTTTTCTCTAGCAGATTGAAACTTCATGTATTTATCGATAATTTAAATGTCGATAAAAATTATAGAAAGAAAAGATGTATTGAGAAAAGATCTTTGTCAACAAGTCATAAATATAACCATCTATTGAAGTATTCGTTTTTTTT